TCTCTCTCTCTCTCTCTCTCTCTCACTTCCTCATGCTCTCAGAAGCACCATGCAGGAGAGAGAAAGGGCGAGCGGCAGCTTCAAATCCCTTTTCTGTCTCAGGTTTGCTCTCCCTCCTCCTCCCCTCCCTCTCTCCCTCACTTTCTCTCTGCCTCGGTCTCTCTCTGAGTGGGTGGCGAGGACGCAGCATGTGTGTGTCTGGAAACACAACGGTGTGTGTTTGTGTGTGTGTGTGTGTGTGCTTATGTGTGTTTACTCATGGATGAAAAGAGATGACCAAAAATCCCTGTGTGAAAGACAGCGATAGGAAAAGATGAGGAGGGGGGCGCAGTGTGTTTTTGTGTTTATGAGAAAATTAGATAACGAAAGGAAGAAGGACAGAGTGTGTTTGTGACGGTGTGTCTGCGTGTGTGTGTGTGTGTATGTATGTATGAGGGAGATAGGGAGAGGGCGGCCTTTTGATGGAGAGGGACTGAGCCAGCCACTGTGTGTAGGCCTATGCGCGTGTCACTGATTGTGTCATGAATGAAAATAAGGAGCAAGCGAGGGGAGGGGGAGTGGGACTGTGATTCTCCTCCCATTCAGCCGTCTCCTCCTCTCTCTTCCTCTCCTCCTCTTCTTGAGTGACAGATGAGGGACTACGAGCAGCTTACTCAGGCGTGCGTCAATAATTAGCATCCTCTCCCTGTTTCCATTTGCTGTGTCTTTGCAAAAGAAGTGCTTTGTCGCAACGCACCAAGCGACGCACCGAGCGAAGCCCATCTCGGTCACTCTGAATTTCTCTTGTGTAGCCCAGGGTGTTTCATGGGCTTTGCGAGCGGCGCCCCCCTTCTTTTCCTCCAATGCCGTACATGCAATGGCCCGTGATCGCTCCTGGCAGGCACACACACGCATGCCAGGAAGGACAGATGCGTTGAAAAGCGGAGGACACACACAACCTTGGCTGCTTTTTTCTCACTTTCCACAAACAAAAATTGTGCCGGCGCGCATTGGCAGTCAGTCAGTCAGTCAGACAGTCTCACGAGCACACGCACACGATGGTTCAAGGGCAATTGATTTGGAGTTTAATTTCCCTCCCGGTGCTCCTGACGCAATAAGGATGCGCCTCCGTCTGACCTTGACGACAGACAGGGAGAGTTTTGTCTCTGTCGCCAGGCTCACTCTGAAGCACACACACACACACACACACACACACACACACACACACACACAGCATCGTCACCTGGAAACGTCAAATCCTATGTATTATTATAAATGAACGCTTTCCATCTGCTTTCTAATTATAGCCAACATAAGGCTATTCCTAATTTTAGCTACAGCCGCGAAATAGTCGCCTTTCAATAATTCATGAGTTCAGACACATGAGCCTGCTCCTTACTGGCACGCTTAGCGCCATGGTGGGGGGGTCTAGGCCTGGGTTTTTAGCAAAGGTACAGTGCATTGTTTCATTATACAGGAGAGTGGGTTAAGCTTGTAAAGTTCTCACTCCACACACTCACCTGATGCTTTAAGGAGACGACTCTGACAGATATTGGCCTCCTCACCTTGATGCCTAAAAGCTGGAAACAACATCAGTCATATAATAAAAAAAAAAAGATGTGTTAATTAGTATTTGACAGTTTTGAGATAAGCACCACCACATGCATGAAGCCAAACTATGCATTTACATGCTCAAACCATTTCGGTGAGCTGTCCTCCCCGGGATGCATTTGTTTTGATCACTGCGGATCTGACTGAAGCGTGATTTTGCCTACAGCGCTGACATCAATCGAGACGGACAGGGGTTAAAACCGAACGCCTCTGAAGAAGCGTTTGAAAGCTCCTCTCATCTCGGCTCACCATACGCTATGACGCACAGGCCTGTTTGTGTGTACAGTTTGTGTGTGTGTGTGTGTGTGTGTGTGTGTGCATATTGCATGTTCTCAGGTGTGTTTTCCACTCAAGATATATCAGCAGGAGAGCATTCCTCTGTGTGGTGAGACCTTATAAAGACTAACAGGTGTTCAACAGTTTCTTTATACACAATAACGGTAATTTGATCTCAGTGTAGTGTTATTAAAGTGTTTCAACGATTAAGTAGTCCATGGGAAGTAGGCTACTTAGTCGTGAATTTAATTGGCTTTATGATATTCTATTTTTTTATTTTTTTGCTGTGAATCGATTCTTTTCTTTTTGAGATTTACTGCAGCGATTTTGTTTTCAAGAAATGCGTGTGTGTGCCAAGTTCAGTGATCGGGGAGTGGGGGGAGGTGTAAGGTTCAGGGTCATGGAGGATTCAACCACACACCTTAGATCAATGGGAGGCTGGGCACGGAGGGGGTTGCTCTCTGTTGCCATAGAGACGGGAGGACAGTGGTGTTGGATACTGTTACTAGGCAGAGAGGATGTGGGGTGGTCTGCTGCTGTGGAGGGTAAACAACATCAGGGCGAGGGCGAGGGATCGGGAGTAGTGCCAATATTCCTGCTTGGATTATTTTCTCCAATAAAATATTTCACATTTGGTCCAAAAATAAGAAAAGAGTGTGCTATGTTGAAAAAAAAACAAAAAACTTCAATGAATACAATCATATCTGACTTATTATTACATAAATCTTTGATGGATATGGCTCGTGTTATGGTCAATTTTGTTCAAATCAATCAATAACACCTATTTTAGTGTTGCCTAATCATAGTGCACAACCCAGTGGTCATTGCTTTGAAGTGCGTTAAACGTTTGCTTATGACGTTACAGCCTATTATTACACTGAAGCCCCGTGTCTGTAGCCTCTGTGCCGCCTTTAGTTTAAGTGAAGGTTAACTGTCAAAATACTCTCGACATTGCTTGAAAAAAATCAGCTCTTAATGTAGATCAACAAATCTCTATAGAGCTGCAAGCCTCTCAAACATGACCAAGATTTTGAGTGCTGAGTGAATTAAGCCCGTAACAGCTTCTTGTGCCTGAGCTCTCTACTCAGAGCTGTGCACGTGCGCCCTCTCCTGGGGAATAAACGGTTTACCTTCTTTTACTGCAAGCAAATCAGAAATGATGAATGCACTGCTAAAAGAAAATGCCTGAACGTTTACTGTTCTTTAACACGGTGGCATTGAGCATAAGAAGGAGATTTTGTCATGTGTGCAATGGCTGGCAGAGGATGGAGAGCAGTCATTACAACAAACAGTTTAATCTGTACTACCAACTGGTAACAGTCCCACATACATATGAATTTCTATGATTTGCGCAAGGTCAGTCAGACTCCACAATAATGTGTGTTGAGATAATATGCATGCGTTCAAGAATGACCTAATTCTGGTCAAGGGACCTCCAAGTCCAGTTTTTTAAGAGTCATGGCCGTTTGTATATAAGACCAAAATAATATTTTTAAATGGGTAACTTTGTACCTCTCACAATTTGTAGTTTGAACATAACAAAAACTTTACCCATTGGTCTGTGGTAAAACAAATCCTACTGTCACTGTGACTTCATATTTGTACATCAGTTAAAAGTCATACAGGATAGCAATTTATCTATTTCTTCCTCCAACATTTTCTTGTGAACCGAATCTTTAAGCTTGAAAATAATGCCCGTAGTCATATAATTCTTGTTTATATTATTTTGTTGCCATACTTGCCAGCACTAAATTACAGTATGTGATACAACATAATGGAAACATACATTGCTGTGCCATCTACCTATATTGCACATGTCATCAAACTCTTTCTTCTTACAACAAACTAACAAAATAAACCCTCAGAACTACTTAAAGCTATGAAAGTAAATTATACTCACTGGCATTGCCACTCAGAGGGCCAGGACATGCAGGATGGATGAAGAATATATTCACTCTAGTACTAACAAAGCCATCTTGTCACAAAACCAAGAAAAGGAATAAAACGCTACTTCCTGTCACATGTGAACACTGCATCATCTACACTTAACACTAGGGAGCAGTATTTGCACAGTGTGGGCGAAAACTGGCGAAAAACCGTAACACCTTAACTAAACACTAGGTGGTAGTAACTGCTTCAAATAAAACACAAGTCATTACAACACGCTACACTAGGACTTTTTCGTGACTCTTTTTGACATGCAATACTATGATCTTTTTCGGCATACTATACTATGACTATGACTTTTTATTTCTTTTATGACAAACAATACTTTAATGTTGAATGCATTTTTTTCAACATACTATATATACCATCATTTTTGACACAGTATTCTGATTTTTTACTATGAAAAAAATCATAGTGTAGTATATCGAACAAATTTATAGTATAGTATGACAAAAAAGTCATGTGAAAGGTGATAGTATTGTATGTCGCTTGTCACTAAGTGCTCATAGGTGGCATTGATTTCACTCTGTTGTTTTCCCCCAGCCTCTCTCCCTTCACCTCTCGTCCTCCATACATCTTTATGAAGCAGGTTCAGAAAGGACAAGGGCAACGGTTCCTGCTGAGCAAAAAAAAAACACAATAAACAATTTCCAAAAAATGTAAAAAGAAACTTTTATGAATGTGTCGAGTGAAAAGGCACAGTGTTGGACCGACTGCTCGCTTGTAATAACATGTATAAAATAACGATTTAACAATGCCATTTTATAGGGCTAGCTAACATGAAGATTTAACGTTATGTTAGCTAACTTAATATACAGTAGATTATGTCTGACGACATCACTCACATCTTCTGTAGTTTGGGGGGTTTAGAGTTAGACATAACGTTTCTGCTGAGCTGGAGGCTTGGAGCACAAGAGGGGAGGGGGCGCTGGAAGTGGTAAAGGAGCTTGAGCGGCTGCTGTTTCCGCCTGATCTCTTAGTGTGGGCAAGTTCTCCTGATTTGTATTTTTTTAAATATAAGGTTAAAGGTTTAAAAAGGTCCAATACTACCTGCTGAAAAGCAACGTGTGTGTATTATAGAATATTGTTGATCCTCACTTGTTATTTACCCCTAAAAACAGGACCTCCACCTCCATCCACACATAAAATCATGTCCACATCCACCTACACAATCAGAAATGTGTCCTCACTTTTGTTTTTATTCCACACTTTAATCATTTAGTAAACAGATCTTCACAGTAACAATGCAATAGCAGAAAACAGAAGCAAATCACTGTGCAGCTTTTTAGGTCTTCAAAGTAATTATGGTATGTACACTGAGAATGTGAAAATCAAAGAACCGTGCCCGACGTTCACCCTGTAGTGTGATGAGGCATTTTTAGCCTCGTTATCACCCTCAAAGCAGCTCTTTGACTGGAGTCTATCCACTCAAGCTTTACACCAGTTGTAGCTCTGTGAATCCTGTCCATACTGCCAACCCAAAAACATTCAAGTACTGTAACTCTGTCATTGCACAGGTACCTGGTCAGCCAGTGCACAGGACTCTTAGGTGGAAACTGAATGGTACCACTTAATGTACACTTAATGTAAAATCAAATAGCTTTGTTGTTATCCTTTCACGTGAACAAAAAAATAGTATTTAAAAGGAATTAGAATTTAAATAGCATCCAAAATGCTACGGTAACGTCTGTAAATATATCCAAAAATATGAAGCAACATAACGTAGAATTTATTAAACCGCTCTCATTCTTTTGTGACACAACAATAAATAGTCATTTGGACATGAAATCTCATAACAACTGCAACATACAAACTGTAACATTTTGCAATGCATTATGTGTAAAACAGACAACTCTAGATGTTTCAGGTCTTCATTTAAGAATAGTGCTGAATTTGAATGAAATGACCGTATTAATGAACCAGCACACTGGTCTCTTTGCATTATTTTTGGTTTTGGAAAATACCATTTTCGTGTTGTGCTGCTGTACTGCATGTTGCGCAAGCTGGACTTGCAGATGGCGGGGGGACTGCTTAAAAAAGAGATACAAATCAGAATAAGGCAAAGTGAATGTACTGTTTGAACTACAAATATACTTGCACTCAGATTTATGCTGTTCAGAAGTATGTGATAACATTTTCAATCGGTCTGTTCCGAGTCTGTGCTGAGACAAAAGAGCTTCGGAAGTTAGCAAAGAGAATACACTGTTTTGAAACTCTTATTCTCTTGGTTGTAGGTGGTTTGTCCCAGGCCTGACATGTTTTACAAAGAGAAAATAAAAAACCTTTCACACTTTTTCTCAACCTTTTCATACATCGTAATAACCGATAAAGCTTTTTGTCTGGCCATATGCTGCCCCAGTCAGAGTGCGTTCTCATTTGGTTATGTACTTAATGTAATAAAACACATAAAACAAACTGATACCCTCCATATTCAAAACAAACAGATAAGATCAGAACACAGCAGTAGTTCCTGTCTGTCCCATACAACAAAAATACATCTGTATCTAATTAATACAAAGCCTCTGTGTGAGCACAGTCTTTCATGGCATCTGTGGTCAGTTCCTTCTTTATAAACACACTTAAAAGCAGTTGTTAGAGAGGCAATGATGGCAAGTCTTGGAATTCACTGAATTCAGCTTGATATCAGAAGTGGGACTTTTGGTGCGATCCCATTGGTCGAACAGCCGCAGACTTGGTCGTTCACGTGTCAATGGTGGTTTCTGTCACCTTAGAGTCTCGCCCTCACTACCTGTGGCCTGGGCTCCTGTGGGTGGCTGTGTCCCTGACTAGATCTTCCTCAACAACATTAACATAACCTTCTTTCTCTACGCAGCCTGCCAGGACCTGCAGCACCAGCCGGAGCCGGCGGTCCAAGGCCTGGAGGTGACGCTGGATGAGGATCGGGGACAGTCGGTCACGGAGCAGGGACTCCTCCACCAGGGAGCTCAGCTGGTACTCCTCTTTGGCCAGCAGCTGGAGACGCAGGTAAGTTGATTTCCTCACCCTGGAAAGGGTAATTAAAGAGGTCATTTTAAATTAAACTCTACTATCTAATATTGCTGTATTTATTCCTACTATGATGACATTATAAGACATACATTAGTGTATCTTTCTTGCCCTTTTTGCTTTAATCGATAGATGCAAGTAGAGATACAGACAGCAACTGGGAATGTTATGTTTATGGCATCTTAACCACTAGGCCTCCAAGATGCCTCATATTAACCCTCGTGTAGTCTTAAACCCCTAAAATAAAGCAGCTAAATTGGCATTTAAACCCCAGATCTATTTTTTTATTCATCAACTTTGTGAATATCTGGGTTTCCCCTCTTCACAGTTCAGAAAAACTGAAGGGAAACAATAACAGTCGTGTAGTTAGTTGACAACATAGTTATATATTCTTATATATTGGACAATGAACTCTAATTAGCACATAGAGTATAGGACAGTATACAAGTCTGTGTGCATGGACTTAACAGATGTATTTCTCACATGTGCAGCACACAGTATTTGTTTTACAGTCCTTTACATCAACATGTGCACTCATGGCTTCACTGGGGGTGCTGTCATCTGCAGCACCTTCATATCAGATAGCCCCCCGCCTCTGACTGCTTTCCTCATTAGTAAATAATGCTGTTTACGGTGTCTCATTTTTGGAAATTTTGTCTGTGAACTTGAGACATGGAGGGGACGAGCTCAAGAAAACTTTGTTTTTTTAAATGATTTTATAACTGCTGGGTTAAAAATGACCCAAACTAATCTGTGTACCCTGGTGGTGTACAGCTTTCATAAATATAAAACACAATGTTTCACTTTTTCTAATGTTATGGTCACTTTGGCAAAAGTCACCAAGTTGAAAAATGATGATTTATGGACCTTTAACACAGGAAGCAGCACTGCACTCTAAAACCCATTTTCACGCACCCTCGCCAAGCGCTGTGCCCAAAGGTCAATCGTGTTGAATTTTTAACTGCGATTTGTGTGAAAGGCCCATAAGGAGGTTTTCTCTGCTGTAAAGCACAGTGTCGGGTCATTGACCCTTAAAACAACACAAGGGTGAATGAATTACAATTCACACAAGCTTCTCATTCTAGCTGCAGATGCACTAGGTGTGGTAGAGGTGCTAAACACTTTGTCTTTGGATGGTGCTAAAGCAACTGCCACGAGTTGTTAAAAAACTAAAGTGTTACATCCTGTAGGAGCATTGTGTTCATAGCCAATACACCAATTAGAGGATTAAGTAAATTAAACTGAGAGGTCTAAGGGTAGTGCTAGACAAAATCTCACAGTGTTCAAAATGGAAAAGGGTTTCACACGTTTCACAGTAATCTTCACATTTTACATTAGACATAATAATTCTTACTTAGATGAGGGCTGATGGTGGTGATGGAGCAGCAGACAGGTCACAAATACACTACAACTCATTCTCTGTGGGATATTGATTTCCAAAGTAGTTCAAGGCAAGAAAGAGTAAAGAAGAAGAGATATCTTGTTCTGGTGTGGTAAGGCTGAAGGAGGACCGACTGACTGACCTGCAGGACAAAGACATTCTATCTCGACCAAAAAGCACAGTAAGAAATTCACAAAACAACCAAAAGTCTGACCTGCAGCACTGACTGAGAGGAACCAGAATGGACAGCTCATCGTGTGAGTGTTTTCCAAAACTACAAGGGAGAGAATAAAGATCAAAAATGGAAGAAGAAATCATCACAAACATGTCAGACGTTGCTATTCATCCTATTGCTTCATTAATTCTGATGATGCTTCTTGAGCTTCATGAGAAATATTTAAAGTGTGTAGATACAGTACATTGTAATTAATCAGTCTATTAATACCTCAGAATTTGCAAAGTCACATGTTTGATTAAATTAATTAAGTTAAATTTCAGTGGGTCAAATGTTTTACGGATGTCAGACAGACAGTTCTAAAGAAGCGGAGTGTCTTTACCCTCTTCCATTGTCCAGGTGAATGATGAAGGTGTCATTTCCAAATTTCTCGAAAGTTTCATAATGATGTCGGTCCATGTTACCTGAACAAGGAGAGAGCAAAGTGGCGATACAATGTGAGGACACTGCAGTTAATTAACACATGATTAAAAAAGAGACATACATTATGCCATTGATTCATCTGTAAATGCAATATATTTAAACGTGATGTCATACCCAATTTTCCTCTTACCCATTAAGAAATCAAAGATGGTCATATCCATGACGTCCAGCAGCCGAGTGCCCCGGTCATACGGAGGAGTCTGCTTAACCTCGTCACAGTAATCTTGGTCCACCTCCCACCTGAGAACGCATAAGAAATGCATGTTTAAAGAAACATTGCATCCATATTTAGTCACAGTAGTCAGCAGAGTGGAAACCCCGACTCAGAGGGCGAGCCATGTGCTGGCAGATTCATGAATGTGTCGTTTCTTTACTCTGCTTTCTTGCGCTTGTGGTAGGAGCGTCTCCAGGGGTTTCTCCATGTCTTGCGTTTGGCCAGGTTCAGGTCCGGCAGGAAGGCTGCCAGCGAGCCTTCGATCTGGTCCGGTTTACCGCACAGAGCGTGCTCAGTGGAGCAGTAGTACGAGCACTCACCGTAGAAGCAGATGTTATTGGCTGAGGAGAAAAAAAAAAACAACACACTGATTTAGAAATTGTGTCGAAGAGGAAGCACTTAAATGGGTTTACGCATCGCCGTGGCTGAATATGAATGAGGACGCAAACATGGCGACATTGAGGAGAAAAGAGCAGTGAAGTATCAGGGTGGTGGAGGTTTTGTTATCTCAGGTGCAGGGTTTAACACAGCTCACAGAGTGCTGACCCAGCAAAGAGGGACCTGGCCATCCTATAACATGTCCTCCTACTGAGAGGATGTGACTACAGATCAAACTGGCTGCTCAAAATACGGAAAGCATTTCATTCGAATTTTATATTTTGTTTGTGTTAATTGTGTAATAATGATCAAAGACATGTACAATGTCTTAGTTTATCTGTCTTGTCATTCAGAAACTTGTACTTATCAGCCAAACTCTACATCAGTTACATATTGACAAAAACAGCTGCTTAAGTTGTTACTTTAATGTTCACCAATGATATGTTTGTGATGTTCTTCGTAGCATCCTGACACATCACATGTGACAAACGACCGGCTTAGCATAACATGCCTTCATTTGACACACAATGTGACTCTGAATGAGTCTAGTTTCCCCCGATCACTGTAAAACATGATGTAATCCAGCAACAAAAAGAGAATGACAGATATTCTGTCTGGAATGAGTGTTTTTTTCAATCTTTTGTTTGTTTTATTGAGTGGTTTTATATGGACCTGCATTTATGGATGTGTGTGTATATATAAGGCTTCACTGTGTAGAGCTTTTGAGAATACGCTGATTTACAGTGCCACCCGGTGTTAACTTTTGGCTATGGCTTTCTCCATCACTACACAAACAACCAAACATTCTTACCATTTGCACCGCCTTGAGGAGCAGACCAGGACAAACAAACCCAGAATACCCTCAACTACAGAAACGCAACCCACTGGTTATAAATAATCCAGTTCACTTAAAGCTGCAGTGTCTTACAAGTGAAGCCAGAGTTGTCCGGTGCCCGGTCCCTTAAGTACGGCTCATGCAACCAACTAGCCAGCATTATTGTGCCAAGCAGCAGACGCTGTCAGAGTTTCTACCTGGTGAGATGAAGAAGGTCCTCCACAGCTTCTTGTCACGCGTCGCATCCCTGATCTCCTTTGTCATGTTGACAAGTCGCCCTGCCACTGGGGGCACTCGCCGGAAGTCAAGGATCCTAAAGAAAGAGAGAGACGTGTAAAGAAAGGTAATGATTAAATGCATTTAACATCTAAAATAAAGTGAATTTGATGCCACAGTTGAGGACTGGAAAGTCAGATCTCAATTTGTACCGTTTTACACAATGTTTTAAACTTTAAACTGAACAGATGCAGCTACAAATGATCTTCAGCCTCCAGCTCAGGCGGTGCAGATTTGTAGAGCGTCCCCAGCCAACCAGCAGAGCCATGAACACCGAGCAGCTACACTGTCTTTGTGAGCTGCTCTGACCCAGTGCTCTAGATCTCTGCACCTTTCCTGCTTGCATTATCTCTCTATTAATGCACACAACAGGATATTCTTGCGCTCCGCATACGTCCATTATTCTCGAAATAAAGACAGCTCAAAGAAACAGCGAGACATCAGGATACTTTTTCTTTACAGAATAATCATTTTTAGTGGTTCACAATCCAGACCTGATCTGTATCATCGCAGCACACAAGATGTTTAATAATTCATTATCTTTACAGCAGTATTTATTGACGACCAACATCCGTGTCAAAACAAGGGGGAAAAAAGGTGTGTGTGTGTCTACCTCCCATCTGTCCCACCAACACACACTCATACACAGACAAATACACCCGAACCGTCTAATCTATATTTAGATGCTTGAGTTAATTCTACACTGTATGGTCTCAAACTGTTGTGCTTCCTCTCTCTCTCTCTCTCTCTCTCCCTCTCTCTCTCTCTCTCCCATTCGCTCTTATGTCTGAACACTATACCTATTCAGCCCCTCTTTAGCCCGCCTCACTGTATGTTTGCTGTCCAAATGACCCTGACCCGTTTGAGACTGAAGCTAAGCCTCCTGGGAGCAGGCGCGGACACAGACAGACCAGCTGAATGGAACAGAGTTGGCGAAACTTTAGCCTACAGAGGACCGCATTCAGGAGCTGCAAACTGCACCGTCATGTCGGGCCCTGGTGACAAAGGAGCACCTGTGTGTGTGTGTGTGTGTGTGTGTGTGTGTGTGTATTTGCCTGTGAGAGCACACTCAAGCTTCTATGTGTGTGCACTCTACCTATTACACACCTCTGAGTCACAATGAGTTGACGAAGATGATAAATAGAGTATGGCGAAGAACAGATGGTAAAACCCCCCCGAAGTAGTGATGCGGCCTTTTACCTTAAATCTTCTGGATATTTTTAGTATATTTCATCAGCACTGTCTAAAATTAGAAATCAAATTAACGAAAGTTTTAGCCTCCTACTCTTCATTCCTGGTTCAACATTAAATTAAGCCACACACACTAGTAATAGCTCAGACTGGTATCCAGAGGCTGCTGTGGTCAGTCTTGAATTCATAGACAACCCCGCATGGTGCATGCAATCTAAAAACAGCCCCCCAAGCTCTAAAACCATGTCCTGGTGGGAATGGTGCACCTGCCATTTCCTGTTTGGCTCCATCCTCCTGCCCACGCAAACAAATGTCGCTGACCTCATCAAACACAGAGCGAGAGTGTGTATTTGTGATAATGTGTGAGGTAATTATAACGGCCTCGGCAGACCTCAAGACGATCTGCGCATCATTAATCCTCCTCCCCCACAATCCCAAACTATCACTATCACGTTTGAGTCCTAGTCAGCTGAAGTCTGGAGAATTAAAGGATCACGTGGAAATTAATACTCAGCAGCAAGTAAAAGAGATGATCTCAGTGCTCGGTGTGTTATCAAATCCCTCATGTACCAAATCGGATCTCATTCAGATTTTCACAGCTTAAGTCCATTAAGGCGCACCTCTAGTTTATGAATGGTGGTGTTTGTGCGACCGGTCATTCTTCCTGGAACAGACTGTGAAGGATGATTTGAAAACGCACTTGGACAGGAAACAGATGAGTCACAAAGAGATCTCAACACAACGGGGTGTTTCAAGGAGATAAAACTCACCTGTCCAAGTGAAAAGCGGCAATCTCAGCGTTGTGCCTCTCAAAGTCGGAGAAGTAGAAGAAGTCTGGAGGGGTTTCCTGCTCCCGAGTTTGCCTGAAACACAGCCGTTAAGAAAAGCATTAAACACAATATCAGCAGGATCATTTTCAATCCGAGGCCTTTCATTTCCAAACTTTAGATAAGAGTAACCAGAGGAGGCATGACAACAATGAACATTTCTACATTTACATCCGCCCTAAACTGAAGATCTGTTCAACTGGGGGCTGAAAGAGGAGAAAGATGAAATGTGAATTCGTACAATGTGTGCTTGTACCGCCCCCCTCTGAACTGACTTATCAGAAATGGGATGATGTTATAAACAAAGGCATCGGTAAGGCAATTCAAAACAATATCTCTATATGATTGTGTGTTTCAATATAATTTAAGTATATGCCATCATTTGATTTGAGTCATTCCTGCTCCTCTCCTCAATCTCCTCAGCTTTCATTGGATTTTTGTCTCCCGCGGCGTGAAACTCATCTCAGCGTCTGCATCCCTTTCTAGGACAGACCAAAGTCTGTGTGGACAAGCTGGATGAGAGTCTTGCTCACATCCTGCAGTTCACACAAACACAAACACACACACACACACGCACGCACACACACACACACACACACAACCAGGAGATGTGAATCCCTGCCAACCAAGCCATGGATCTGAGTCAGGAACTGCTGGAAGCCTCTTTGTGTCTGCCTGTCTATCTGCTCGCTCGTCTGGCAGTAGGAAATCATCTCTCCACATTCGCACACTTGCTTTCTCTTTCTTTTGCACACACACATGCATACACACCTGACATTAGCCTGCTCTGCTTGCACAGGCACATTTCACTCAAAGCTGCCACTTAATGTACCCCCCTCCTGCTCCGCCCCTGCTCCCCTACATTAGTGTGCATTGGACCTCAGGGTGCACTATTTTCACTCCTCCTTCTCCCTCAATTTTCTCTGACAACAGAAGCTCCTATTCTTTCGCATGTCAAGGAAGCAGCCATTTACCCATAAATCAACTGCTGCTATTGTGATCTCTTCTTTCTCACCCAGAGCAAGGAAGGGGACTAATGGTGTTTTTTTTTTTTCCAGGTTTCAGGGCAGGCGATGGAAGATACCGTGTACATGAAGAGGGTTGGAATAAAAGGAAGCAACAGCCCTTTGCTTTTAAAAGGTGACCTTACGAGCCAGAGCACTCAGAGCACCTGTGACGCACCTCGTTATCACTCAAACATGCCTTTTTATCAGAGCACCTTATCGTGGGTTGGTAATCAGTGTTGCTAAAAAAAAGTCTCAGTGGCACAAAGACATTCAGGTTTGAAAACTGAGAGGTGAAACGGAGGCTTTTTCTTCACAATAACTCACACGAGCAACTCTCCACGGAAAGTCAGTAAAACAGAAAGCGAGAGACTGAAGTTGAAGCTCGTCTGCCGTCAGACAGTTGCTATAATGATGCCGTATCTTCCAAGCTATTCCACCGTGTGTGATTTTTTTTCTTCTTCTTCTCCTGATTGCACTTTACGCTTTGGAGAATGTGTAACATAAACCTGACTCACAGTCACTTTAGGCTTTGGTTGCCATGGTCACCAAGATGTAAAATGCAATTTCCTGTCGGGGGGGAAGAAGCATAGAATTTCAAATGTACGGCAATTGCAGGTTTGTGATGTGAAAAGCCATTACACAAGAACACGCACACTCAAATACGGACACACACACACACACACACATCCTTTATGAATGAGTGTCCTTGACAATAAAAGGTGCTTTATCTGAAGTAGAGTGTGATTAGAGTACAGACAACGTCCTGGAGTTCAGCAGAATCTTCAGGAGTGTGTGCGTGTGTGTGTGTGAGGTGAGGAAGCTCAACTGCTTGCCTATGTGAACTCAATTTGTGCTGAATCGGCAATTTTAATGCTCTTTCATGAGCTGAGACCGGCACAGTGGATGGTTATATTAGAGGGATAGGAGAGGGGGGCAAACACAGCAACAACAGATGTAGCCCAGACTCGGTATACACACTCCTTCTTTTGCAAACAGAATTGACAGGAGAAGGCGGAGCTAAGGGCAATGGAACGCTAAATAAGACATTTTAAGGCGACCAGAAAATGTTACAATTACCTTTCAATGAACTAAACACACACTGTGAAAGGGTTAAAGTATTAAGACTAAAACACGGCAACTCACAGACCACGCCGTGATAGTGAACTGTCAATCACAAGGTAGCCACGCCCTAAAGCACACCCTGCTTTAAATTCTATTTTATTGAACATCATGATGTATTGAAGAAAACTTGAAACTAGCGACTGAGACCATAAACTCATATTTACAATGTTTACTAAAGAATTGGAATGTTAAAGAATGTTGCATCTTGCGGACACAAGGCTGTAATTTCTGAGGACTTGAACAACCAACGCTCCTAATGGACGCAGCCATCATGCGCATGCGATCTTTTAATCGAAACAATTGGATCTCTGGCCTAAAGTTGTGACAGCACATATATAAACAAATCATACAAAATATATTCCCTACCGCTGTAATGGCATCTTGCTACTGATCCAACGTAGAGAGCGAGAGCGTGAGGCAGAAAGGGTACATGGGAGATCTGTCATCTATTGGTAATCCACAGCAGATTTCAGCCCCCCACTGACAGGCGCCTTTGTCTATGTCTGACCCTCAGTCCTCTGTGTGTGTGTGTGTGTGTGTGTGGCTAAGAAGACTTGGGGAGTACTTTTCTGCAAATTCCCTCTTGCCAGCCTGACCCTATTTAACACCAATTATACTGTATAGCATCTAGCAGCTTCTTTTTTCTTCCACTTATTCGTTTACTGTACTCATGTCCGTGTGTCTGTCTTTCCTTCTCTTGCTCTTCTCTCTCCTGACCAACAAAGTATACATATATATACATCTTCCCTTCCTCTTGACACTAGGAAAGTGCTATGCCTTTTCTCCTGAGGAATAGTCTGCTGAGAATCTTTTTTTTTTGCGCGTGAGTGTTTTGGAGAAAAACAAGTGATTCGATACGTTCAGGACACTCTTAGGTAAATGGCACCTTGCAGAGTACTCACATCACCTCTCAAGGTGACAGACAGGTGGAGGGATGGCCGACCAGATAAAAGATTGCAAGATAAAACCTCTTCAGCCTGGTGATTTGTGTCAGAGGCTGCTTGTCTGTCAGCAGCAATACATGCAGAAGTATCAGAGAGAGCTGTGTGTGTGTGTGTGTGTGTGTGTACGTGCTTGTGTTTACACCTGCAAGCAGCAACATGTTGTGAGTGTATTTCTACATTTTGTGTGTATTCCCGACTCTGTGTCTGCTGATTCCTCTTTATTTTCCTTGGCTTCCTCCAGCAACTGTATCGGAGAGGGATCTAAGAATCGTCCCAGGGACCCAGAGGTAGCTGTCTCGATTGAATCGCAAATCAGTGTTACACAAGTTGTGTTCTAGCCTCGGCTATTTTCATCACGCAGGGTGAGGCGCCGCCAGGAGGGAAAGGCAAGTTATCTGCATGTGTGGGAAGCAGTATGGGCGATATTATCATATGGATGCAGAGAAAGGAACTCGCCTTGAAGAAGATGGACGATGGCCTCAGTGCTTCAGTTTCAAAAGTTATTAGATACTCATGAGCTGGGAGAGAGTGTGGCATTGATATTAAGGCAGAGCAAGATTATCACCTTTCTGCTGCATAAAGTCTTTAGTATGTGTCGGTGTAATTATCTGTTGATTGATCTTTTATCAGTGAAGGGTGCACTGGGGAGGGATGTAGTTACATGAATTATGTGCATTCAAGATATGAGTCATTGAAATGAGAGAATATGATTCATACATTCAGGACCATTTTGAAGGAAATGCACCATAAATGACATGTTGGGGTAGATGGCCACTGAGAATTCTGAATTCTGATTGACTAGACGGTGCGGACTAACATTTAATAACCGGACGCCTATAACGCTCGTGTTGCAGCGACACTGAGCTCTGATTAGCAAGATTTACGAGTTACTGATCATTTGAATGCACCTAATATCTTAAATAAATAATCGTATATATATATTTCAATATCTCCAGGTTGTCATTGTAAACAAACATGTTTTTCATATTCTGTGTTTCTCACCAAATACATATGTTCAATCTAAAGGCATTACAATTATTTTAAATGTTTTCACAACTGCATTGAACACCACATTAGTTTGCAGTATTCTTCTTTACTACTGCTACATTTCATGGCCCTGCATTGCCACCAACTTTAAATATATATTCTTTATAGTCGGCAGAAATGTGCACCCCGTCCCCATTGTTCTTGAGGGTATGCATCAGAGTATGTGTGCTAACATGCAACACTACAGGGACCTGTTCATAAAAACATTAAAGTGGTGGTTTTATGGTCAAATACTCCCAGGATGGAGAAATGTAATCCACCTGCAGTCAAACAAGGTGCAAACAACTGTCTACTTGAGGTCTATTCTTTTTTTAAAAACCCTCCAGATGCAGGAGACGTCCTTAAAGTTCATACTTGTGCAGTTCTACAATTACAATATCCTTTCACCATGCCTGTGCACACTGGGGCTATCAATCAAATTCAATGTGACAATTACATCTCCAGATTAACGTAGTTTAAGGCTTTAGATTGAGACGCATTAAAAAGTCAATCTTTACTTGCGTACAAACGTGTTACTGTATATGTCACAAAGCTGTAAAATACAAAAAAAGCCATTGTAACCCAGAGTGTTCTGTTCTCTATCTTCCAATTATCTTGAACAGTTTAATCTCACTTATTCATTCCCTCTCAATTACCTCCAGTTCCTTCAGTCGTTCTTGGCTGTCTGACCTTCTGTCCATAATGCAACCTGCAGGCAGAAACTGAAAACTTGAATTTGAAATCTAAATGTACGGCTTTGAGGGAAGCTGCGCGGCTGTGGGCTAGGCCACTATCTGTGACCACCAGAGCTCTCCGGCAACCCTTGAGATTACAGAAACCCTCAGAGCTAGTGTAAATTGTGTCGGTGTGCGTGTGCAGTCACGTTGAGTCACGATCGAGAGTCAAAGAGAGAGAATGTGCCTCTCCAACGGTCTCA